TCTATGTTTAACAACTGGCTCACAAAATTTAGCTACAGCACACCATTATCCTAGTTTGACATCTTTAGCAGGCTCTGATCCCACACTCTATCACCTGCTGAACAACTCTACCCGGATCTCTTCCATAAGAAACCACAAACTTACCATACTCAAATCTAAACTTGCTGTCCTCTTTGAATTTCCTTAGCCCATACTTCTCTTCCTCTCCTGACTTCCCTATTTCTATTAATGGCACCTCCAGTATCCATCCAATCACTTACTAATCTTGTAGATTCTGCCCATGCAATATTCTTTTGATCTGCCCTTTCTTTTTCATTCCAACTAGGGTTACTGCCCAGTCCAGATCAATTAACTGGCCTCCTCTCCTTCAGTCTCTCTTCACTGCAATCTATCTGGCAATACTGTCAATCTTCCAAATGCACAGCTCTGATAATGTAACTCTTCCATTCAATCTACACATCGTCTCTTAATCTGGTCTTCAAAGCTCTCTTTGCTCCAGGCAATCTGGACAGCTCCCTTCTCCCTGTGCTTGGAACATACCTTGTGTTTCCTGATTTTGTGCTTTTGTCCACACTTTTCCCTTCATCTGGAATGCCCCTCCCTCATTTTACGATGCAAAAAATCATAGCCTTTATTCAAGACCCAGTTCAAATGACAATGAAAATATTGGAAATTGGTTGTCAGAGGGATATACAAGTTTATGAGAATCTGGATCATGAAAACAAATAAGTAACAAATGCAGGAATCATTTAAAGACAAAAATGTATTTGGTGATATTTTATATGAAGTATATAAATACGTAGCACTGATTATGATATGATATAGTAGCACTGATCCCATTTTTATTATTAAAAGGTTTGCGTGAGGCAATATGAGGTTTATCTCAAACCTATGGATTTCAATTATACATGCTACAGCTGTTCTTCATTAACTGAAATGATCAAGAATTGTCTGTACTTTAACCATTTGGTGTTTACTGTAATTATTTCCCTCTTAATGCCCTGAGCCAAACTGTGTTGAGGAGGTTGGAAGAGGTGGGTGGTAGAGGCATGGAGCTCCTGGGCCCTGGTCTGTCACCACCACTGATGATCCTCATTCATATTTGAGACACTGATCATAGATATTAAAGATCCTCCACATGCCTAGAAATTCTCAACAGTCAGAGGCAAGGAAGCTGGAACTTGTATCTTTTCTGAATCTTACTTCCTTCAGTCATTCCCCAAATTTAGAGTAAATTAAATGCTTTAAATATTTGCTTTCTTGAGCTGGAGAATCATAATGATGATCCGTCAGCAAGTGATTCCTTTTCTTTCAAGTTTAGTGGTAAAGGACAAAGAAACAAGCTGCTAGAGCCCTCAGGTCACTGGCATCAATGTCCCCGGGGAGTTAAAGAATACTGGGTTATTGAGAGCCTGAATCCTTAGCCCAGGAGAGGTGGAAAATAATGAGGTAGCAGAAGATGGTAAGAGACAACTGGCAAAAATAAAGGTGTCTTGAACCAGCCTGCCCTCACTCTTAACACCTAGATTGTCAACCGTGGTCTAAGGACCTCTTGCATGAGAACCAATTGGGTACTTGTTTAAAATGCAGATTCTTGGGTCCCCACCTGAGACCTGCTGAATTATAATCTCTAAGGGAACAGCCAGGGACAGAGCATTTTTCATAGGCACACCCAGCGATTCTGATACACACTAAAGACTGAGGATCACTGCTCTGGTGTTGGCTAACTTTGGCCTGCAGGCTAGTTTGTACAGCCCTTGAGCTAAAAATGGTTTTTACATTTTAGAGAAATGTAAAAAGAAAAAGAATATGCAACACAAATCATGTGGCCCACAAAGCTTAAAATATTTACTGTCTGGCCCTTTACAGAAAAGTTTGTCGACTGCTAGCTAGCGCATTGCAAATAGCCTGGGTGGCGCAAAGCAAACAGCCAGGCACTCGACTACTAACCAAAAAGATTGGACGTTCAAACCCATCCAGAGACGCCTTGGAAGTAAGGCCTGGAGATGTGCTTCTGAAAGGTCACAGTCTTGAAAACCCTATGGAGCAGTTCTACTCTGCACACATAGGGTCGCCATGAGTCAGAATTGACTCAATAACAACTGATAACAACATCTGAATTTAGCCCTATCCCAGCCCTGCAACAACTAAAATAACTGATGCATCAAAACTTTCAAAAACAAAAACTGAGAGTGACGAGCCACATAAAGCTGTCATCTAAAAATGCATTTGTAATAATTTTAAATGGAGAGAGGAAATGTATAAATAAAATTGCAGCAAGCAATCTCTGAAAATATAGTTTCATCAATACAAGAATTTGATTCTATCCTTCCATATACTTATCAGGTGACAATAAATCATAAATTAGCCTAGGAAGAATTACTGCATATACACTATTTATTGGACTATGCATATCCCCCAGTACATTATTGCCACATATATGAGGAAAATGTAAAACTATACCCCAGAATGTCCGGGGAATAAAAATATAAAATTTCAAAACAATATGTAGGAAAATTATTCACAAAGGGAATAAAAGATATAGAAAGTTAAATTGGTATCTTCCTACTTGAAAGGAGTCTGAGAATCACAGAGCAGTTCCACTTCCTAAGAATAAGAATCTTGGGAAAGAGCTATGAACTCATTTGGGAAAGGTTCAGATATCCGCATTGTGCCAAAAAGGCTCAGTGTTTTGGGAACCTACCCAGTTAGATTCGTAAAGTAATCCCAAAGCCAAAATGCAATTCCTTTAGGGGTAGTTTCTAGATGTTTGTTCTAGATACCTAAAAAAAAATTTTGTTTATTTTCGATGTGGAGAAAGAAACTTTATTATAGAATCTAGAAATAAATATTGGCTTTAAAAATACATTACCTAAAGTGACTTGTCTTTCACCTACAAGTGACTTGTCTTTCAGAATTGTAAACTGAAATATCTCACAATAATTTTGTTTCAGCGCTTTTTTTTTTCCTCAGAAGAAAGGAATGTTAGAAACCTTACTAGCAATAACATTTTGATAAAGATTTAAACTACATTACAATTTTTAAGAAACAACGTTTAAAGCCCCAGATAAAGTCTTGAAACTTAGCATGCTTCACCATTTAATAAAATTATGACTCATTTTAGTAAGAAAAATGCTTTCTGAGCTAACTTTAACTGCTGAAGAACATAGGACACCCACAAACCCAGTCAGCAAAAGTCTCAAACTCCTATAAGATTAAAGGAAAAATAAATTAGTGTGTACAGAGAATTAAAAAAAAAAAATCCCCAGTGCTGCTAGTCTATAAACGGAAGTAAAACTAAAACCCCCCTAAAATCCCCCAATCATCGATCCTTATAAATGCAGCATTTATCTTCTCCCTTGACTTCTTTGGGAGCCCATAAATGATCACGAAATCTTTTATGACTTTTATCTCTTAAATAAGAATCCTCAAACTACACGAAGTATGGATAGCGACCTCCGTGTCACAAAGTGTTTTAACTTTTAAACCCATGCAAGAAAACGTGAGGTTTCCTGAGTTCTACGGGGACTGGCTGTTAGGAACCGGATGGATTTTGCAGATGTGTAATCCCAGGACGCGCACTGAACGAGTGGTGTGGGGGGCAGAGGTGTGTGGTGGCCGCCGCCTGGGCCGGGCAGGGTGGGTGGGACCGGGCGTGTGCTCGGGTGAGAGTGAAGGGCATGTGACAATACGACGGTGGCGTGTTGGCTGCAGGATCTGGGCGGAGAGTGAAAGCTTGGCCGGGGTGTCCCATATGTGAGCGGTGATAGTCACAGCCCCACTCGTATTTAAGTGTCCTTTGTCACTAACAACTTAGAGATGTTCTTTATTTAAAAAAAAAAAAATACAAAAAGACCTAGCCAAACGTCCTATTAAAACATATACTTCCACTCCCAAACCCCACCCCCAAAATTTCCCCATCTCCAGGGAGCTGAGTTTTAAACCAGCCTAAAATCCAATCCCAAATACGGGAGTCCCCTCCTCGCCCGTCCCCGCGACAGTGAGTCAGAGCCCGGCGAGCCCGGGTTCTGGTGCCGGGGAGCACGCCGAGTGGGGCGACGGCTGTAGGGCTGCCAGAAGGAGGGGAGGTGGCATCAGCAGGACGTGGCGCTGGACCGCGCCGCCGCCGCCTGGGAGCGGGGTTTGCGCTGGAAAAGGCGCCGCCGCAGCCCCCGGCCGCCC